ATTTTGGCTAACTTTAATTGCAACTGATAGCTACTACTACTAAACACTACCGTACTGCAATATATTACCAATGTTATTACTATTAATAACTATTCCCACTACTATACCTTCGGCTAACAACAATCCCTACAGCTACCAGCTACTACAATTCTTCCCTCAACTATTTCCTTCATAAACTACTAATACTACTACAACCACCACAACTGTTCCTAATAACAACAACAATAATTACAACCCCATTCCTTAATTACCTTCACACACTTGGAACAAACACACACACACACACACAACTGGACCATGAGTAGAGGAGAATACTACTACCACGACCACCAGAGATAACAGGTTCTGAGGCCCCCGACAGTAGCCAAGTCTCCTCAGCGAAATAGGGAAAATAACGCAATATATATTCAAGCAATAAACGGCCGGGTAGCCTATCGACTCCATGTACGAGGCTACAGTATCCGCCAGCTTGCCTTCACGCCCTGAGAGCCTCCACTCCACGCCTGCCTGTACAATACAACCGGGAGAAACACGTATAGATGGATGGGAGGAGAGTGACGAAATATACTGCATATGGAGATGGTTGGGTGAAGATAGTGACGTAAAATGTAGAGAAAGGACAAGATAGTGGGATAAACACTTGTACAATACTAGCGGACTGGAGATGAACAGAAGAGAAACAAACATAAAATATTCATCTATCTTGCCCCCTCAAAAATTAATCTTAATAGTATCCCAGGAAGAATGTATCCACAGCTACACGTACCAGCCTAATCTCCATGGATATATATATATATATATATATATATATATATATATATATATATATATATATATATATATATATATATATATATATATATATATATATATATATATATATATATATATATATATATATATATATATATATATATATATATATATATATATATATATTTCATGTAGATCCACAATGAAAACGTGGATAAAATAAATCTTGATAAAATCACACGGGAAAAGGGAAACAACGGAGCACCTTAGCTTTCGTCTTTATTCAAGACAGTTGCCTCTGAAGATGTCTTGAATAAAGACGAAAGCTAAGGTGCTCCGTTGTTTCCCTTTTCCCGTGTGATTTTATCAAGATTATATATATACCTTAGCAGAAACAGGAGTACGACAAGACCGTGTTCTGTCTCCAACATTGCATAATATATATTAAGAATTCTTAATGAGAGAAGTTATAAGTGATAATGAAGGAATAAAAGTTAATGGTAAAGTAGTATAAAATATACGCTATGCAGATGACATTACTCTTATCACAGATAGTTAAGAGGCATTACAAAAACCCGTTAACAGATTAATGGAAAATGGTGAACAATTTGGTTAATGAGTTAATGCTGTAAAGGCAAAAATAATGGTTGTTTCCAAATTGGAAATAAATACTAAAATAAAAATTATAGCAGCAACAGGGAACTTCAACAAGTGGAAATTTTGTGTATTAGGGAAGTAACAATAGCTGTAAAGGTAGACGTACGGAAGAAATCAAAACAAGAAGTGGGCAATAAAAACAGCATTTAATAATCTGAACGACCTAATGAGAAGAAACATTAACTTCAATTTGAGAAAGGGCTGTTGAAAGGCTTCATGTGGCAAGGGCTGAACACTTTCAGCAGACACCATAAAAAGGTTGGAGGCCTCTGAAAAGTGGTGTTATAAGCGAATGGCTACACTGACAGGAAAACATAAGAATGGAGGAAACTGCAGCGGGCCTATTGGTCCCATACTGGGCAGTCCCGTTTATACCCAACCCCTATCGCTCACATATCCATCCAACCTATGTTTGAAGCTATCCAGCGTATTTGAGTTAATGATGATGTTTGGTAATTTGTTCCACTCATCCACTATTCTATTTCAAAACCAATATTTACCTAACTCCCGCCTAAATCTAAATTTGTCTAATTTAAAACCATTGCTACGAGTTCGCTCCCGGTTGGATAGTTTGAGTACCTTTGTTATATTACCTTTGTTTAGCCCTGACTTCCATTTATACACCTCGATCATATCGCCCCTCACTCTACCTGAGGGACTGCAAATTAAGACGCTCTAACCTGTCTCTGTACTCAAGGTTCCTAATGCCCGGGATCAGTCTTGTCATTCTCCTTTGAATTCTCCCTTGGGATTCTATATCCATCCTGTAGTACGATGACCAGAATTGAACTGCGCAATCCAAGTTAGGTCTCACAAATGAAGAAGTACAAAATTAGCACAAATTTCAAGAGAAGTACTTGAAATGTACAGAACATTTTAAATGAGATACCAGGGTAATATAATTGGGGATGAGGGAATATTAACAAATATTAATGGGCAAAATTGAGGGTAGGAGGGCCAGGGGTGTGCAGAGACGGATAGATGAACGAAATTAAAAACCGAGTCGAGTTACAACAGCCCAAGCACGTTTCGAGTGGAGGACTGCAGTCGCCAACCCTCAGATACGAGGAAGGTACTCTGATTAATTGAGTGTAGTTTTAACCCCATCTTCCACGAAAAAAATTCTAACCTGTTGTAACATGACCTTCAAGGGAAAAAACAAATCCCAACAAATTTAACTTAATCTTCAGGATATATTGTTATTTTACCCTGAATGTAACTTTTTTGTAATAGAATGTCCGCTCTCTGATAGGCTATCTAGTAAATCACGCGCCGACCATTAAACTACAAAATTCTTTAGTCTACCGGTAAACATTTAATACAAGCTTATATGTACTACAGTTTAAGTCGCTTAATTTATACAATCACATTCTAAAACCATCACTAGCAACCCGACACTGCTGCTGTATATACAAGTCATATATAATGAATGTTGTACAACCACATGACACGCATAACAAACCAGCGAGTTGTAACGAAAACTATGAATGACATTCCATAAATTCGTGTAAATTATGAGAACAAAAAAGAAAGAAAAAATAGGATAGTGTTTTCAGTCGAACAAACCGTCATAATTTTAAACTCTTACTGCAAATAATATCGACATACACAAAAAATATACAGGTTTCTGTTCTACATGAAACTTAAAAGAGCTTCATGCTGTTTTCGTATACATACCACGTAACTAAGTCCAACATGAGAATGGTTCACAGTGCAGGTGGTCCCACTGGTATGTTCTCGCTTCCTTTTAAACACTAGAGAAGTTCCATACAACTACTATGGAGAACCAGTTTCATACTAACACTTTATAAAGGGTCAGTTTTATACTACCGTAAGACTAAAGGGACAGTTTCATACAAACACGAGTCAGCTTCAAACTAACACTTGATAGTGTCTTACTAAAGCTTAATAAGGAGTGAGTTTCATACTAACATTGATTGTTTCATGTTAACACTTGTGTTAATTTCATCTAACACATGAGAAAGTGTTTCATACTATCACTTGTCAGTTTCTTATTAGCGCTAGAGCGTGAGTAAATTTTTTACTAACACCAGAAAAAGCCAGTTCCACCCTTATCCTAGTGACGTAAAACATGGGTAAGTTCCACAGAAGTCCTAAACCATGAGTCAGTTTCATACTCGCATTAAACCATGCGTCAGCTTCACACTAGCTGCAGGGCGAGTCAGTTTAACCGAACACTAGAAAAGTACAGGGATTGAGTGTTTCATGCTGGAATCAATCATTTCTGTACTAACACTAGAACGAAATCACCTTTGTATTAACCAGAACGTAGATAAGTTTCTAGGTAACACTACAGCATATGTGGACCAGGTTCTAACACTACAGCATGTGTGGACCAGGTTCTATCACTACAGCATGTGTGGACCAGGTTCTATCACTACAGCATGTGTGGACCAGGTTCTATCTCTACAGCATGTGTGGACCAGGTTCTATTACGACAGCATATGTGGACCAGGTTCTATCACTACAGCATGGGTGGACCAGGTTCTATCACTACAGCATGTGTGGGCCAGGTTCTATCTCTACAGCATGGGTGGACCAGGTTCTATCACTACAGCATGGGTGGGACAGGTTCAAACACTACAGCATGTGTGGACCAGGTTCTATCACTACAGCATGTGTGGACCAGGTTCTATCACTACAGCATGGGTGGGACAGGTTCAAACACTACAGCATGGGTGGACCAGGTTCTATCACTACAGCATGGGTGGGACAGGTTCTATCACTACAGCATGGGTGGACCAGGCTACAGCTAACACTAAAAGTGGGGTCAATCTTACACAATCTATATAGCTACTGGGCCAGAGACATTGTCACAAAGCAGCTGATGATGATTCACTCAAATACCAGAGTATGGGGGTGAATCCCACTCATACTTTTAAGGGTGTATTAGGGTGTTCCCACTCATACTTTTAAGGGTGTATTAGGGTGTTCCCACTCATACTTTTAAAGATGTATTAAGGTGATCTCAATCATACTTAAGATGTACCTGATTTTGACTAAGTTTACAAGGTTATTCAAACAAACACAAAATTTAAAACCAAATTTCTTCAAATTATGTATCATTGTGAGAATGAGTCAGACTACACCAGAAACGAAGGCCGGCTCCAGCTAACATATCAAGAACTTAGTTTCTCACTTAACACAAATGAGCCTCCAAACACGGGGCAGTAACACACAAACACTGATAAGGAGGAGCACAGAGCCTGCCCAGCATCGCACACACAAGTTTATTAGAAGACTGTGTAACCTCAGGGTCAACTCGGCCAACATGCGTCCCATCCAAAACGTGAAACCTCGTGGACATGGAATCTGATTCTCTTCGGGTTTCTTTCGAAGGAGTTTTTAGTGTTAATTTAAAGTTCAGCTCACTCATACACCTTGTGATCGTGTCAACAGCCCTGTTATCGACAATTCATAGAGCAAAGTGTACGTTACACGGGAACGTGACGGAGCGCTGAACTCAACCACTTGATGGTAAACAAACAGGGGATGGCAAGCGAGGGGCTAACATAAGTTTCTTGTCCTGTGAATTTTACATCCTAGAAAGATTTTTAGCGTAAACTCACCTGGCTGACACTTTGTAGCGAAGTAAATGTGAAATATACCGCACGACACACCGGGTTATTCCTTATATGTATAATATAATCACTGTGAACACCGCGGGCACGAGTTAACCATCCGCTCACTTCCCACTCCAGATGAACACTAGCGGCCTCTGTCAGTCCACACGCGCGCACTCCTCGCTCAGTTGCCATATAGTTACTAGTTTGCAACGGCTGAACAATCATTCCCTCGTTAGAGACAACTGGACCTATATAAGTAATATTTTCAGTAAATCTTTGTAAAAAAAAGTTACGTTGTGAATTTTACACTATAATACTGTACAATAAAGACAGAAGCGTCTAATTTACGAAGGGAGAGAATGTCGATTGTACTATGACGTTAATTTTACCTTTTTTTCCACGTTTTTTGGACAATAGAGAAGACTGGAAAAAAAATCATCAGCGTGAATATTTTATAGCCTCAGCATCAGGAGTTACATTCAACATGGTAAAAATTCCAAATGAATAATTCCAGCTGTCACTGACTAATGTTGATTTACGAGACGTGTGGAAGTAACCAATTATATCCCAGGCCTCATTTGGGAACTAAATAAGCCAGTGGTAGTAAACAGCGCAGGGCCTCAGCGGTGACGACTCTTTACACTCCAGAAATTGAGTTCTGTTAAAAGACTTTCCCTATTTTCAGTTCTAATTACTTCTCTATTTGATGAGAGTAAAAATCACTGAAAGCATTAAATAATATTTTTACCCACTTTCAACAACTCATATCTCCGAGTAATGTAAAAAAAAATATTTAACAAAGTGAAGGAATATTCTACACAGTATTTACACAAGAATGATATCAAGCTCAGTCATAGCCAGAGAAATTATAATTGGTTTTCCAAATAAGTTTTTAATTATTGGACAAACAATGAAAATAAGTGCAATTAGCAAATCATTAGGTATAAATGTATTATGGTGTCAGTTGCTGTGTTTAAACCCTGTGATGAATGATGATGAATAATAAAACTCATCAATAGTGGCAGAATGTTGACAATGAATGTGAGGTGAAGTGCGTTGATAAATAATGCAGAAAATTCTAATGCTGAATTAAAGGGATGGGTAATTATAAGCATACAGATACACACAGGCATGTTGATATATATACTCGTGTAAATAAACCCCGTAATGACATGCTTACTTACACACAGGTAAACAAATATACCCTCATACATGCTAATACACACACATGTAAACATAATATTCATTGCCGTACACACGTTAAGAAGTAAACGCACACAGACACATGTACACTGTTGTACACATGGTTGTAAACGCACACAAGCACCATAGTCTATCCTGATACACACACACACACACACACACACACACACACACACACACACACATGCACACATCATCACAGAGGTTATAAAAAAAAAAACCTGCTAAAACAACGCCCATAACAATAAAAGACTCGGGGTTGGCTACCAAAATCTGGGTCGTTAATTTAAGGACGACAAAATTGGAAACAAACGCATCGACTCGCTAACCTGACCTTTTTTGTTTTGTCAAGGTTCAATATATTTGTGTCTTTCTTTCTTTTTTAAATTTTTCTTCTTCTTCTACTCTTAAGACTAATAAATACCTTCTATTGTCTCGATATGGCATGGTAAGTTGGATACATGGAGGGGACAGGAATGGGAGGGGAAGACATATGGATGGGATGGATAGGGGAAAGAGGTAGGGGTGATGAGGGAAAGAGGAGGGGTGATGAGGGAAAGAGGAGAGGAAGTGTAAGGATGGGATGGATAGGGGAGAGGGAAGGGAAGGGGAAGGGAGAGAGGTATAGGGATGGGATGGATAGGGGGAAGAGGTAGGGAGGAGTAGGGGAAGGGGGAAGGGAGGGGTATAAGAGGAGGGGAGGTACAAGGGAAGGGGAGATGTAAGGAGAGGGAGGGTGTAAGGGGAGGGAAGGTGTAAGAGGAGAGGAAGGGAGAGGAGGTGTAGGGGGAGGGAAAGGAAGTGGATAAGGAGATTGTCTACATACATGTTGAATTCTACACCTGCATTGTTTACATACAGTACAACCTGAATCAACGTAAACTTGTATGAAGAATTTACTGAATATCTATCCATCTATCTATCTATCTATCTATCTATCTAATGTCACAGGATGAAATAACTAGCCTGTCAAACAAGACCATCACACAGTTTTCTTTTTTTTTTGGGGGGGGGGGGAACTACTTTACACTCAAGTTAAAAAGACTCATCACGGCTTTAGTTTAGTATACCCTCGACTGTCACGTACACACTTCAAGCACCGTGTCAGTAGTGTCTCCCGGGCACGCATGTAAGTCACGGGATGATGAGTGCCACGTCTCCACGACCGTCCGTGCCACCTACCCACGCATCTCAACCTCGGGATGAATGGCTCCCACGTCAGGTCAAGTCATACTCGTGAATGACTGAGCCCACTTCAAGACCTCACTCGACACTGACGCTCCTCACCTCACCTCCCCTATGATATCTCGAGGAGGGGAGGAGGGGGGGAGGGGGGGAGTTGGAGTATTGTGGCATGTCTGTTATGAATGCTGGAGGAGTGGGTGACTTGAGGAGTGGGGAGCTATTTGTTTAGTCCCCCTAGAACGAAGGAGACTGAGAGAATTCATTCATTTTTAAAGAAGGTTGAGGCTCAATTACAGGTTTAAGAAGAATCTCCAGTACAATTTGAACCCTTAACAAAAACAACTTCAACAACAACAAGAATATCAATAACCCTAAAATTCAACACCCAAAACAAATACTTCAACAATTATATTACAATACATCAACTGAGTACAACAATACCATTAACAAGACCACTAAAAATACATCAACTCCGAACACATCAACAATACAATACAATACAATCATCACTAAAATACAATGACTTTTATTACAGCATCATCATAACTACAGCAGCAGGGGACAGATTGAACCTGACCTAGGAAGCTTTCAGAGGGCGGGTCACAATAATATGTTCATTTATCTCCCAGCGCCCACTCTACCTCCCTTCTGAACTCCCCACACCCCCTCATGACCTCCTAAACTCCCCCAACCCCCCATGAACTCCCCTCACACCCTCCCACCCGCTCATGACCTCCTTCACCCCTCCTAAACTCTCCCCACCCCCTCCACCCCTCCCACCCGCTCATGACCTCCTTCACCCCTCCTAAACTCCCCCCACCCCCTCACGAACTCCCCCCACCCTCTCGTGAACTCCCCTCCACCCCACCTCAACTCCCCCACCTCCTCATGAACTCCCCCACCCCTTTATGAACCCCCCACCCCTCATGACCTCCCCTCACCCCCTCCTGAACTCCCTCCCCCTTCCCGTCTGGTGCCACTAGTCTCGCGGCCTCTGACTCACCACCGCCCAGCCAACTCTAGTCTAGTGACACAGTGACGGGAAGGCCACAGTGCCACAGTGACGGGAAGGCCACAGTGCCACAGTGACGGGAAGGCCACAGTGTTATAATAACGGCCAGAGTGACAGGGAAGCAATGGTGCCATGGATGCCACAGTGCAACAATGACAAAGGCAACGGTGCCGCAATAACACCATCCACAGTGCCATAATGACAGGGAGGCCACAGTGACACAGTGACAAAGGAGCCCATAGTGACACTACACAAGTTTTTTGCAGTGAAACCCGGCAAAAGCGTGATGGATCAAGATGCAGCAGCCTTACGTGTTCCTGTCCTGGGTCTGAGGAGAGAACATGACTTAGAAAATACTATCACATAATTATCTCCTCAATAGTTCGGTAATTATGGAACACCGGCAGAGTTGTGGATGTGATATATATGAGTTTATAATTAGATGGTGTGTAGTGAATATTAATAACTCACTCACTCACTCACTCACTGACGGAATAAAAGTCACCGAGTCACTCTGAAGATTAGACACCCCTAGATTATTCCACCTGAAGATTAGACACCCCTAGATTAACCAACCTAATGTTAATGAAGAGTTACACTATGTTATGTTATGTTAGATTAAGTTAGGTTAATGTTCGATTGATTTATCTTCAGGCGAAATAAATTAGGGTGCCTAATCTTCAGGTGATCCTTTGCAATACACCATTTCATTTAACAGTGAGCACACACGCTGATATGGTAAGGCAGAACCTTCACTCAAAGGCTAACATTCTATACGAGGTGTCGCGGACATTCAGCAGAAATCACAAGGGATTGTCGGGAACTGGAGGCAGGCATTCAGAGGTATGCGCTGAAGCCTCACCGAGCATCATATTAGTTTCATCTGATTCTCATCTCCGATGTCGCTGCACCAGACTCCTCAAACTCCCTCGAATGCAGCATCATCATCATCGTATTTTTTTCGTGAAACAAATGAACATCACCGAGTGTAAAAGGAAGGTTTCTTCATTTATATTTTCAAAATCTCGTTCGATTATCGCTTCTCGTATACGTCAAGATGTAAAAATGGACAAAATGGAGTAACGCCCAGAAATAACATAACTATATACTGACACTCTACCTTGTTTAGTGTTACTTGTACGCAGCAACATATACTGTACATATAGTAAAATAATCTCTGAATGTCTGGAAGATTCTCTCCGCGTAATTGTCTCCCATGGCTGGTGTTAAATGAAAGTATCTAAAGGTAGAGTATCAATTTAATAATGACACCATATTTGGTATTCGATTTTATGTTTTAGCTTAATTTAACTAATTTAGTATATTATTTTTAGATACGGGGAATATTAACCATAGGGACCTTTGAGTGAGTGTAAAAAAAATAATAATAAACGATTTATTAATAGAGCTGCAGCCGGTGGATGAAAATATACAATCTTACATGTAATTTAGACATAATGATATGCGTTCAGTACATTTACAGGGCTGTACAGTACATAAATTAGGAGCTGTTTAATATTTTAACAATAGATGGAATGGTGCTGTTCTTATATCTATCAGTGCAGGCTCTTATGGGCTGAATTTTTTTGTAGTGGCGGACTGCTCGAGGTGGGCGGGGGACTGCCGGTGGCAGGAGGTGGCAATGACGAGGATGGTGCAGTAGTCCACTGCCAAACCTTGCTAGTGCTTGGTGGTGGAGGTCACTGAGGGATAGCATTTCCAGGGTGGGGAGAGTGTTGGTGTAGCCG